TTTTTTCCTTTTTTCCTTTTTTTCCTTTTTTTCCTTTTTTTCCTTTTTTTCCCTTTTTTTCCTTTTTTTCCTTTTTTTCCTTTTTTTCTTTTTTTCCTTTTTTTCCTTTTTTCTTTTTTCCCTTTTTTTTTCCTTTTTTTTCCTTTTTTTTCCTTTTTTTCCCTTTTTTTTCCTTTTTTTTCCTTTTTTTTTTCCTTTTTTTCCTTTTTTTTTCCTTTTTTTTCCTTTTTTTCCTTTTTTTTTCTTTTTTCCTTTTTTTTTCCTTTTTTTTCCTTTTTTTCCTTTTTTTTCCTTTTTTTCCTTTTTTTTCCTTTTTTTTCCTTTTTTTTTTTCCTTTTCTTTTCCTTTTTTTTCCTTTTTTTTCCTTTTTTTCCTTTTTTTCCTTTTTTTCTTTTTTTTCCTTTTTTTCCTTTTTTTCCTTTTTTTTCCTTTTTTTCCTTTTTTCCTTTTTTTTTTTCCTTTTTTTCCTTTTTTTCCTTTTTTTTCCTTTTTTTCCTTCTTTTCCTTTTTTTTCCTTTTTTTCCTTTTTTTTTTCCTTTTATTCCTTTTTTTTCATTTTTTTCATTTTTTTTTTTCCTTTTTTTCTTTATTTTTTCCTTTTTTTCCTTTTTTCACTTTTTTCCCTTTTTTTTACGTTTTTTCTTTTTTTTCCTTTTTTTTTTTCTTTCTTTTTTTCCTTTTTTTTTTCTCTTTTTTTTCTCTTTTTTTTTTCTTTTTTTTTTCCTTTTTTTCCTTTTTTTTTAGGCTTAATTTTTTTATAAAAAGGTCCTGGAGACCCACCTGGTTCTCGGCGGCCCTGGTCGTCGCTTTAAATTTAGCGGTCACTATAACCGATTCGGGTGAGGGCATATTTATTAAGCAATCCTGAAAAAACGAATTATGTGGTAATTACAAAATATAATCTCGTTATTTTGACATGTTGCAGCGGTGAACTCATCGATCCTCGAATTAAAATCTGTCGGTCAAGTTTTGTTTCATGTTTGATTATCAAATAATCTTTCAATAGCGCTAAATACAAGTTTTGACTTTTAAAATCTAATAAAAACTAATAATTTAATTTTTCATACCTTTACTAATTTGTATATTATAACTAGAAAGTAAAATATATATCAGACTGAAAATAATATTGATTGACAATCGATTTATAATAAAAATAAATGTTAACATCGTTGGACGTTGGCAGGCCGTGATTGCGCCGCTAAACCTTTGACCATGAGGAATATGCTGAGTCAGCAGGTCATTGTTTTGTAACTTCTCCATCCACCAGAGAACGAACAATACTTTTCCAGTTTCTTTACGATCGGTTGATCTCTGTTGTCTGCGAGAACTTGTTTTGTTATTGAATCTTGTCTTGATTCTTGTATATTCCCTTGGAGTGATAATTTGGTTGGAAATGTTCCTTAGAGAGACATTCTGTTCTGTGATGGAGCAGTGGATGTTTAGCTTCGTTAGCTGTGGTATTTTACTTTAGTTTTCGGGGTACTTGATATTCTTCTTATGCACTAAAGTTGTAGGTGTCTCACCTCACATAGAGCTATTATTCTGGACTACTTTTGGAGTAAACCATGAAACGTTTAAGGGTCATCCTTGAGTAGATTTTGGAGTTTGACTTGTAAGTAATAGGTGTGTGTCCTTGTTTAGTTCTTTTTTATCCATGTTGGATTTCTTGTTGTATATATGTTCATTAATTTCTTTGTAAATTTCTTTAGTTTTCTTCTCTCGGTGTTTTGTTCTACGTAATTGTTGAACAGCATTTTATCTCGTGTTTAGATATCCATTTAATACTTCGATAGGTTTCATCTTAGATGGCGTAGGGTATTTGCTCTTTAATAAGAATGGCCGTTTGAGTACTTCTCAATAGTCTCAATTGTTATAATATTGTGTAATTAAATCTCTCAATGATTCTGTTGTATTGAGGGTTGTCAGATGTTATCTAGTGAACTGAAATTTTATGAGTATCTATGAAAACGTTTTTGAACTTTGTACCACCAGCAACAATCATCTTCGGCAATCCATGGTGTGTGATGAGGATTATAAGTGCAGCTACTATGTTGACAGTAGATTCGCTTTCTAAAGGATTTTGAATTCATCCATAGTTATTAGGAATTTCTGTTCACTAGTTTAAAAGACATTGATGTGAACTATATCTAGAGGAGTTGGTGTAAACTTCGGTTTCAGCAAAGTACTGTCATATCTATTTTTTTTTAGACATATATCACAAAAATTGATGTCTTCTAAGTCTTTCTTTAGATTTTACCAAAATATAGTTTTCTAATTTGTAGTTTGGTTTCGTTCACACCTCTGTATTTTATTTCTTTTTTATGGAAATTTTTTAAAAGGGCCTTTTTGTCTTTCTGGATTGTTCACTTCTAATAGTTTGTTACTGTGATATACAAGGTGTCCTGTAAAAGGTCTTTACAAAAACATACCAAAATAAGTCGATTTAAGTAAAATTACCTTTGTACAAAGTTGCTTCGTTTGGGCTCCAGAGGGCCTTGAAGTTACAATTTTTAAATCGTTTTTTCCCATATAAATTTAAAACGGCAGATGCGATTTTGCTGAAATTTGGTATATTGGTAGAGTTTTATGAGGCAAAAAAAATGGTATTAAAATTTTGTCCGATAATAATACACAGGCGTAGAACTTGATTTTTTAAATAATTGCACCCTTAAAAATCTCTACGCCAATGGAAGAAAAGGAGTATGCAATTTAGATTGCGCAACTCATTTACTTTAAAAAAGGTACTCTTGATAAGACTCGATTACTCTCATGGTTTTCGCTAAATTTCTGTTTTAATAATTTAGAGTGTATAGGTTTCACAAAATATTTATTTACAACATAATCAAAATAGAGATTTTACAAAAATTGTTCAAAATGTTCATCATTTTCACCGCATACAAAGATTTATACGTCGAAAAAAATTAAAATGTATCCTTTCCCATAACTTCTTCATCACCTCTAAGATTGTTTATTGCATCTTGAATACGTTACCAGAGTTGTTCCTCATTTTCTACAGGTTCCCTGTAATCTGTGGATTTCAGATGTCCCCCATAGAAAGTAATTCATCGGTGTTAGGTCTGGGGAACGTGGTGGCCAGTTTACAGGTACGTCATTACTTCTGCCTATTCATTTGTGTGGATATTGTTCATTCAAGTGGTTTCTAACGTTTAAAGAAAAATGTGGGGGAGCTCAATCTTGCATAAACCACATATCTCTCCGAAGTTGGAGAGGTAAATCTTCTAACAATTCTGGCAACGTATTTTGTAGAAAATCCAAATAATTTTCTCCAGTTAATCTTCGTGGAAGTATGACAGGACCAACAATGAAATTACCAATTATTCAGCCCCACACATTAATTTTAAATTCGAGCTGAAAATGGTTTACCTTTATTGCATGCGGATTTTCAACGGCATAAACATGTTCATTATGGGTATTAGTTATACCTCTTCTTGTAAAACCCGCTTCATCGGTAAAGAGAACCTTCTTGACAAAGTTTGGATCTCTTTCTCTTTGCATATTAACAAATCGACAAAAAACCCAAACGAATTCGAGGATCATGGACTAATAATTCTTGTACTGGCTTCTTATGGTATGGATATAGCAATTGTTCTCTAAGCACTTTATAAACGACATCTTTACTTACTCCTAGTTCCCTTCCAATTCGTCTGGTGCTTAATTCTGGATCTTCTTCACCACGTTCTAAAATGTCTTCTTCAACTTCAGGAATCCTTACAAAACGTTTTTCTTCCATTATCAACAGTGTTGGGAGCAAAGGAACCGGTCTCCCGAAGACGTCTCTCAACAGCAGCAAAAGTTGGGTGGCTAGGTACAGGACGATTTGGAAACCTTTCAGAGTACACCCCTGACACTCTCTCGAGCATTTCCTTCACAAAATCCTAATGTCAGTAACATATCGGTATATTCTGCATTGGTATATTGTACAGCCATATTAATAAACCACGCATTTGTTTTTTTTAATTATTAAGTCAGATAGAACACTTTCAATCGTTAACAAGAGAGTAGGTGTTAAAAATTGACAATATTTTTATTTAGATGAAACTATGGAAACCAACAATAAATGTTTTTTGTATACGTATTGCAGGCAAATAATTAATATTCCTCAAAAAATCCGTACATGACAAGAATCGAGTATTTTTGTTAAAAGTCTCGATTAGAGGTGTTGAAGAAGATATGAAAAAAGTACATTTTTATGTTTTTCGTCGTATAAAATTTTGTCCGATAATAATACATAGGCGTAGGAACTTGATTTTTTAAATAATTGCACCTTTAAAAATTCTACGCCAATGGCAAAAAAGGGGGTTTGAGTATGAAATTTGGATTGGGTACTCATTTACTACAAAAAAGTACTCTTGATAACACTCGATTTACTCTCATGGTTTTGACAAAGTTTGTATTTTAATAATTATTGTTTATGTTCTAAAATTACTAAAATGCAAATTTCGTCAAAACCATGAGAGTAATCGAGTCTTATCAAGAGTACCTTTTTTAAAGTAAATGAGTTGCGCAATCTAAATTTCATACTCAAACTCCCTTTTCTTCCATTGGCGTAGAATTTTTAAAGGTGCAAATTATTTAAAAAATCAAGTTCTACACCTATGTAATATTATCGGACAAAATTTTTAATACAATTTTTATTGCCACGTAAAACTTTACTAATATACCTTTCAGCAAAATCGCATATGCTGTTTTAAATTTATATGGGAAAAAACGATTTAAAAATTGTAACTTCAAGGCCCTCTGGAGCCCAAACGAAGCAACTTTGTACTGAAGGGTAATTTTACTTAAATCGACTTATTTTGGTCTAAGGAATATGTGGTATGTTTTTGTAAAGACCTTTTACAGACACCCTGTATATTAATTTATTTGTAAGCGGTTTGTTTGGGCCACGGTGTAATTCTTTATATACATAAAAAGATGCCTTGATAAGCCGGCAGAATACACGATTCGGGTTTTGCCAGTTGGGACTTAAAAATGATATAAAGAAACATCATATAAAAGTAGGATGTGTTGAATTTGTGTTGTAACCAACCATCATATTATGGTCTAGGATATTACAGTTACTTTTCACCATATCGTAAGAGTTGTGTTTGAACATTTTCCTGATAGATTCGCTTATATAGATGTAAAATTCATCGCTTTGGAAAAGGTACGCATATTTTCTTTTTGACTGTAAAATTTTTTTTGAAAAATTTGGCTATGTGGGTGAAGATGATTCCCAATTGGAAAAATTTGTGATATTGCTAGAAGTCTTGTTTCATAGTTCACTCTCGTGAAGATAATTTGCTGATTGTAGTAGTTTAAGGGTTTTTCTGATATTAGGATTCCAATATAGCATTTTCTATTGCAGTATGTCTTGTGTTATCATCGTCTTCTTTGTGACCTGCGTTTTGTTCTGCGTTTTAAGTGAGTATCTGGTGCTTCTTGTAGAATATCGTCAATGATTTCATAAATGTTTTGCTTTTCGTCAGGATTGTTGCACATTGACCATGTATCGTCATCGAGATTTTTTAAAGAATTTTTCTAAACAATGATCTGTGTGTTGGATAATTTAGGTGGGTGTAACTTTATTCGACTTTATTAGACTTCAAACTTAGTCTGCCTCAACAGAAAATCTAGTCATTGTTCAAAATTTACTTCTTGTAATCGTAAGGGGTTGCAGGAATACTGACACAAATCAGAATGGTAGAAGACTTAACCACAAGTGAAGATTTCTAATGAAATGCAAAGACGCTCAGGGGCTGCGATAATGGTCGCCACCCCTCTGTAAGGGTAGGGGTGGACTCATCCGAAACTATTTTCCTTTTTTATAGACTACCTCGTAATCGTATTCTTCTAGTTGAAGCTTCAATCTAACTACTTTCGAAATTGGCTCTTTCAGTGAAAATAGACATTGAACAGGTCAATAAATATTGCAATTAAATGGTTTTTTTGCACTAAAAGCTTTTAATACCAAGTGTAACAAGATTGGATCCCCTTTCTCTTCCAAAACCCATTTGAAATTTTAGTAGGATCTTATTATGTTCTAACAACTAATATTTAAACAAAAAAATCATGATATAAGCACCTGTTTAGTTTCTTTCATCTATGTTGGCTTTCTTGTTGTATATACAGTGTGTCTACTTAAGTTGGAACCATATGGAAAACATTTTTATTATTGATTTTAGGAAAAAAAGTTATTCTTGATAAAAAGTCCTGCATGACTCATAACTTAAAATACAGTCATCAGATATCAAATTTTTCAAGCCGTATACGAGGTTTGTCAACAAATATGAATTTTGGCTCAAGAGTAAAGTACGTTTATTTTTTTACAAAATCGAAAATTTTCATTAAGAAATTTGCTAAATTCTTCACAAACATCAACAAAAGGAAAGCGTATCATGTTTATAGTAGCTAACGTAATTTTATAACGTTTTTCAGATATTTACAATCAATGTGTAGAGTGTAGAGTTTATAAAAAAATAAGAAAATCTGTTTTTTTCAGATAGATCAGTGTAATTGCATATTTTAATGTAATATTCAATTCTAATCAACTTTTTCTTAATGAAAATTTTCGATTTTGTAAAAAAAATAAACGTACTTTACTCTTGAGCAAAATTCATATTTTTTGACAAACCTCGTATACGGCTTGAAAAATTTGATATGTGATGACTGTATTTTAGGTTTTGGGTCATGCAGGACTTTTTTGTCAAGAATAACTTTTTTCCTAAAATCAATAATAAAAATGTTTTTCCATATGGTTCCAACTTAAGTATATGTTCATTAATTTCTTTGTTAAATTTTTTTGGTTTTCTCTCGGTGTTTTTCTACGTAATTGTTTAACAACCATTTTATTGATGTCCATGTCAAAAAGGTCTCTCGTAAATAAGTAAAACCAAATTTGGTAGATTTTCACAAAACTTTTATTTAAACAAAAAAATTAAAAAATTTAAAAACACTACACCATGACATGTTTCGAACTTCTTTTTTAAATGTGACTAATTTTACAATTCGGTAGTGTCCAATATATATGCGAAGTAATTTAACCAATCAAAGTAATTAAGAAAATACATCAATAACATAACAAAATAAACGGGCAGACACGAATTGAGAACCAAAATGAAAATATTAAGAAGGGTTTATTTTTGTACCTGAAAATATGACACGAATTGAGGACCCAGGCTTCTGAGAAATAATTATAGTAAGTGCACCGAATTGCGGATTAGGGATTAAGGTTGTAATGATGATTCATTGCGGTTAACGAGCATTTTATTACTTTACTTTCGAAATTCTAATATATATTTGAAGTGAGTGTTTTGTGTTTAGTTTATTTTGAGCAGTCTTGTAAAAATGAGTGAAATTAAAATGATCTTAAGTGAAAAGGGAAAGTCGTTACTTGTGTGGGGATGATTATAAGTTTCGTGAAAAAAAGGTTCTTAAAAGTGGGTGAAAAGTTTTGGACTTGTACTGTAAGTAAATGTAACGCAAAAGTATTTACGCTAGGTTCAGATAATATAATTTCTCGAAAAGAAACAGTGCACAATCATGAAAATGACATAAAGAAATTAAATAGACAAATTTTAAGTGTAGCAAGCAAACGGAAAGCCTGTAGAAGATATCACAGAACGGCCATCGAAAATCATACACTCTGTTTTAAGGGAAAACAGTGATACAATGGACGCTTTGACAAGAAAAGACATTACATACATAAGAAATAATATGTATTACAAAAGACGTCAAGTCCAAGCTTGTTTACCAAGCAATGTATCAGATGTTTTCGATATTTTTATTAACATTAAATTTGACAACAATTAAAAATGAACCATTTCTCTTGGCCACTGATAATATTAACAATATTGTAGTATTTTCGTGCTATACTAATTTAAAATTTTTTGTGTAGTAGTGACAAAGTGTATCTTGATGGAACATTTCGATATTGTACGAAACATTTTTTTACAGTTGTTCACACTTCATATCGTAGAAAACGGCCATTATATACCAGTAGCTTTTTGTTTATTACCGAATAAACTTCGTTTAACATACGAAAGACTTTTCGTTATTCTTAAAGAAAAGTGTTTGTAATGCTAATTTAATATTTGTTCCAAAAATTATTGTAGCTGATTATGAACTAGCTATTCACAAAGCAATTTCTGCGCAATGGCCCACCCACAAAGATCATTGGATGTAGGTTTCATCTTGGCCAAGCTTGGTACAGAAAAATACAGAGTTTGGGATTGGCTAAAGAATACCAAGATGAAAAAAGTGCAACTGGAAAAATGGATGAGGTATCTTTTTGGATTGTCTTTTTTAAAACCCGAAGAAGTTGGAGAATGTTTTGCTTTGGATTTGGTTGAATTTCAGCCCCGATCATATGCATAAAGCTGTGGTAAATTTAGCTGACTATTTAGTAAAGAATTATATTGAAGAAAATTCTTTATTTCCACCAACAATTTGGGCTGAAGCTGTTGTAACTACAGAAAATTCTACCAATGCATGCGAGTCCTTTCATTCTAGATTTAATTCAAATTTCTATTCAATGCACCCTTCATTGTATTTATTTGTAAATGTTTTGAACAATTTTCAAACAGATACTTATATTCATATTAACAGCCTTAAGGAGTCTGTTAAATGTAACAACAAAATTGTTAGACGAAGATTAAATATGTTAACTTCAAAAATGTTAGAATATAAAAATGGTACTATAAAACGAATAGATTTTGTAAAATTCGCATCAAAATTATCATAAAGTGTATTAAATGTAAATAATATGTATATGTTTAAAAAATTAATTATAAATTGTAAATTGTGCAATAAATATCTATTTTTATCTGAATTCGTACTTTTCTTCAAATTTTGCAAATCCATCAGAAGACAAATAATAATATTATAAATGGGTTATAGTGATAAGATACTTCAATTATTGAGAAGTTTGTTCCTCAATTCGTGTCATATTTCCAGGTACAAAAATCTCTCTCAGTAATCTAGTTAACGCAATGAACCCTCATTACCACCTTAATCCCTAATCCTTAGTACGGTCCCGCAATTCGGTGCACTTATTTGGTCTGTGCAGGTAGTGGTCCTCAATTCGAGAACACCGAAATAAACTGACTATTTAAAATAAATAAGGGTACTTAAGTAATTATGATATCAATCAGATAAACAATAAGATAGTATCATTACCGGGATTATCTCTCAGAAAACTTGGAAAGAGATTTAATAAAGGTGAGTTATTAATATCTAATTGATCATTTAGTAGGTTATCTGAATTTTTAAATTTATTTATTTCAAGTTTTTCTAAATGGTTTAGTTTAATGCCCTTATTATCTATAGTATGTAAAATTTCAAAGTTGTCCTGTAAAAAATTATTTTCAGCCAAAATATGATTCGAGTAAGTAGAATTTTTTTTGTATAGCTATTATAATGTTCGGAATAGCGCTTTTTGAAAGTACGGTCCTGTTTGACCAATATACAATTTTGGACAACTACCACAATTTAATTTATATACCCCCGATTTATTATTAGGATTAATTTTACCCTCATTGTTTTTTAATATACTTCCCAAGCATATTATTGGTTTTGAAAGCTACGTTATTATTTTGGTTTTTTAAATATGATGATACCTTTTCACTAGGAGCTCCTATATATGTAAGAGTCTTATAGCAGTAATTTTGATCTTTAATTATGGGATAAACTTGTTGAATAGCATGTTTAAAAAGTTTTTTTCCCTAAAATGTTGTCTACTGACTTTAAATTAAAATTATTGTTTACGGCGATTTGTATAATGATATTTAATTCTTTTGTGAAGTTCTCTTTGGTAAGGGGGGGATATTAACTAATATATGGATCATACTGTTGTATGCTGCCAGCTAAACAAACCTAAACAAAAATCCAGAACAGAACACAAATAAAATATCTGATCATACATTTTTTAAAAGATTTGTTAACTTAACTACCAGAAATTTCTCTGATCCAGAACAATCTCTAATAGAAAAAGGGTTTAAACCCAACCATCGCACTTAAGATAAATACTTCAAACTTAAAAGATTCATATAATACTTTGTCTCATAAATATCATACTGCGAACATAATTAAAACACAATTTTTACATAATAACAATTCAAATCAAGGTAGTATGTTAATTAAAAACTATAAAGGATAAAGCAAAACAGA